GGCAGAGAGAGTCCTACAAAATGACAAAGTGGGGCAAAACACATCAGTGAGAGAAGAGATGGAGAGAGAAGGTGGTGCAAGACCCGGAAGCTTCTGCCCGTCGGCACTAAGGCCGTGGTTACGCAGATGTGTAACCCCTTCAGCAATAACAGTCCCAGTGTGAAGCCCTAAGCACGTCAACATTCCTTGACCTTCTGCAGGATCGCAACAGGCCTGTAGCACAGAGCTCAATTCAAGCCTTACTCAGTACTCCGTAGTTCCAGTCCCTTTCTCACGCTCCGCTATCTCAGTGCACTGAGCTAACTTTAGCTCCTCCCTAAGTCATGAAACAGCATGGTTCCCAAATGCCACAAGACGCACTCTAAGCTAAGCCTCACCTGCTTTTCAAGTCCCTCCCCTTCTTTGAGGCCCTTCCCAGCCCCGGCAGCTCACAACTCACTCACGCCACATGACACGGCCTCGCTTTGCCAAGCCCTGCCTCAAGCGCTCAGAATATACCACTGTCTCATCCGCGGACGCTGATCTCACGTTGCTGGATTCTTCTAGCAGATGGCTGAGGAGGTACCGAACCCCAAACCAGCAGCGCGCCCGCACGGGAGCTCCCGGGAGTCCCTGCCTTCCACTTTCCACCAGGCCGTGCTGTGGCTCCCAGCGCCCCGGCTCAGTCCGCTTCTACTTTCTACGGCAGCGGTCCCGGCTCTCTCCTCTCCCGCATCTCCCGGCCCTTTCTCTTCTGCTGCAACCACAGAGCTCATGGGCGTTTGCTCAACGGCACTCAACCACCAGCCCACATCTGTCTCCTGCCAGCCCTGCAACAGGCTCGGGCCCCTCCTCCGGGTGGCTCCACGCAGCACACTGCCCCCTCCTCCAGGTACTGAACACTGCCGTGTTCCCGCCGTCCGCTCTTCACCTGTGAATTCAAACTTTCTAGTCGTTCTCACTCCCAGATTGTCTCCTTCAGCTCCCATGTCACAGTTTCCCAAGAGCCGTGTACACTGCACTCCTTCCCTTCCATTCGCTCCAACCTGGCCTTCACCAGCCACTCCTGTGGAAACGCCCTGCTGCCAACGCGAGCAGCCCTGACCGTCACCCAGTCGCCTGCCCCTTCTTCAACTATTCACTCACTCATTCGAGAGAGCTTCCACCTGCTGGTTCACGCCCCCCACAGCCACACAGCCAGGGTGGGACCAGGCCGCAATTTAGGGGCAAGGAGTTCCATGGCGGGGGGAGGCAAACGTCGGCCCCCCGCTCCTTCCTCGAGCACTCTCCCTTGTTTCTTGGGCTCCACGCTCCCACCCTTTCTGGCTCGGGTGCTGTCTTGTCCTACTATCCCCCTGCCCTTACATGGCGGAACTTCAAAGATCCTGCCCCGTCCTCTTCTCAGCCTTCAACCTCACATACTAAGGTGCTGACTTGCAAGGCTGTGTTTGTGGCCTTGACAGCATAAACACGCCTGACACTGAAGCATCTCCGCTGGGGTATCTGCCAGGCACTTCACAAAGTGCCCCATCAGCTTCCAGTACAGCCCTTGCACCTCTTTCTTCCCAGAATGCTCTCCCCTCAGATACTGACACACTGACTCCTTTGTATCATACAGGCTCTCAGGTCAAATGTCACCTTCTTGGGCCCTTGGGCCACGCTGTAGCCTAGCAGATAAAGCTGTTGCCTGAGGCGCCGGCATTCCATATGGCAGCCGGTTTGAGTCCCGGCTGCTCCAATTCTGACCCAGCTCTCTGCTAATGCACCTGGGAAAGCAGCAGAGGCAGCCCAAGTGCTTGGGCCCCTGCACCCATGTGGGAGACCCTGAGGAAGCTCTTGGCTTCAGCCTGGTCCTGCCCTAGCCAATGTGGCCATTTGGGGAATGAGCTAGTGGATGAAGGATCTCTCCTGTCTCTCCCTCTCCATCTGTTAACTCTATAAATAAATATATAAATACATAAATCTTAACAATTCACCTTCTCCAAGGCTTTCCCTTAATTACATCTTTTTTAAATTTATTTTTTTATTTGGAAGGCAGAATTACAGAGAGAGAGAGACAGATCTTCCATCCACTGGTTCATTCCCCAGATGGCTGCAACAGGCGTAGCTGGGCCAGGTCAAAACCAGGAGCCAGGAGCTTCCTTCAGGTCTCCCACGTGGGTACAGGGCCCCAAGCACTTGGGCTGCCTCTGCTGCTTTCCCAGGTGCATTAACAGAGAGCTGGATCAGAAGTGGAGCAGGAGGGACTTGAACCAGCGCTCATGTGGGATGCCGGCGCACTTGCTACACCAGAGCACCAGCCCCCATTACCTCCTCTCACTTGTTCTTCACAGCAAATCACAACCCAGCAACCTGGTATGGTAACACAGGCTCTGGATGGCTTGTTCCTCCTAAAATAAGCTTCAAAGGAAACTACTGCTGTCACCTCCACAGTACCTGATGTACTAAGTCTAAGAAACAGTACATAGCAACTCCCGCATTATGAGCATTCAGACCTTACGCTCATTCACCTACGAGCCCATTCACGCGAAATGTCCAGAACGGATCATCCAGAGGGAACCAGCTCGCGGGGCCGAACAGCCTGGGGGGAAGGAGTGACTGCGAGTGGAGCGAGGAGAGCGTCCAGGAGTTAGTGGTGACAGGTACAGAACGCGGACGCCCACTAAATGCCTGCGTTCTACCGCATGTGAATACGGTATCAGCAAAGCTGCTGCAAAACCACCCCACTCCCAAACTCACTCTCCACCTGCTGCATCTGACACTCTGGACCGACAGCCCGGCCCAGACCTCGGCGTCCACCCAGGCACAGCTCAGCCGCCACACAGCCCCGGACTTCACTGCCCCGCTCTCCACCCACGTGCACCCGGGCTGCAGGCCCCCCCACTCGCCACGCTCTCGTCACCCGGCAGGGCTCCCCACAACTGACACCTGAGGCCCAGACACCTCCCTCTGGGCCACCCCCCCGGCACTCGGGGCCGCGCGAGCCCGGGCTCTTCACCAGCTGAGGACGACCTCCATCTTTCCTGCTCACGCCAGAGACGCCTTCAGGGAGACCCGCTGTCCTATCCTAGCAAGGGTGGGGCAGGGAGCACGCTCCAGCGCCGCCCCCAAAGGGCCCCCACCTCTCCCAGCGTTTCCCGCTTTGCACTGCAGTTCGCTCCTGAAGGGCCAACTCCACGAACTCAGTCCTCCGTCTGATGTGCACCCCCAGCCCGGTGCTGTGCTAGGTACTTGCCCGGTCTTCCCTGAACGCACACCTGGGTTACGAACGTCCCCGCAGGCGCTCAGTGAACCCCTACAGGACGCGGAGCAGACACCACGCGTGTGCTACTATCACCCAGCAACAGCGTCTGCGGGGGCTGGCACGGCGGTGCGGTGGGTCAGCCCTGTCCGGGACCCCCGCACACCTATGAGCACAGCTCCACTGCCAACCCAGCTCCCTGCTAGTGCACCTGGGAAGCAGCAGAGATGGTCCGCGTGCTTGGGCCCTGCACCCACGCGGGAGACCCGGACGGAGCTCCAGGCTTCCGGCCAGCAGATGGAAGCTCGCTCCCTAAATCTTCCGGATAGTCTCTGTGGGTCCACACTGCTCTTCCACATAGCCCCACATTTATACTCAGCTCTACTCCTCTATTTGTCCTCGGGGGCCAGCCCAGGCGAGAGATCGGTCTCCGACGGACAGCCACGGGCCGAGGGCGTGCGCTCCGCTCTCTCCTCCCCGCCGCGGGCTGCGCTCCCGCACGCCCCTCTCCCGCTCCGGCCTCGCATCTCCGCACCGTCAGGCCCCGGGGGCCATCGGCGCCAGGGGCGGCTCCTCCCCGCGCCGCCGCAGCCTCAGCCCGCGCGAAAGCGCCCAGGGGCCTGCACGCCGCCTCCCCTGAGACGGGAGACGGGGCGAAACCCCGTCAGCGCGGGAGGCCCGCCCGGGCCGGGGCTGCGGGCAGCGGGGCCCCCAGGACCCCTCGCCCGCTGGTCCCTTACAGGGGTCGGATCAGCAGCTGGTCGCTCTCCTCAGCAGGAATCGCAGACATCCTGGGAGGCTGAGGGAGGAGCGAGGCTGAGCAAGCGGGCGCCCGAGTTCTTCCGAACTGGAAACACAGCTCCCGAGACCTGAAGAAGGAAGAACCCGGGCCAGTAAAGGCACAACTTCCGGTTCTCTGGCGCTCTCGGAGTGAGGCTCCGCCCCGACTTCCGGTCCGAGAACCCGGCCCGCGAGGTTCCTCGCGACGCGCGGTCCGGGAGGCCGGGGCGGGTCCTCAGGACTGCGCCTGCGCGAGGCCGAGGAGGCGCGCCCCGGCGGACGCGGTGAGGAGGCTTGGAAAAGCCGGCGCCGGAATTAGAACTGGAGTAACCTCGGACTCGCCGCGGAGGGCCGGCGTCCCTGGGGCCAGGCCCGCGGCCGCGAGGTGAGGGCCCCGCGCGTCGCCTCAGGCGGGGCCGAGATGGCGGGCGCCGGAGCGGAACGCGGCCCCGAGGGCGGCGCCGGCGAGCGGGGAGCATGGGTGGGGCCGAGGCGGCGGCCGCGCTGGCTCCCAGGGTAGCCCCGCGGGCGAGCAAGGCGAGGCGCGGGGCCCCCGCGTTCCGTCCTCCCCGCGCCCCTGGGGCCGGGCCGGGGTCGTCGTCTGCGCAGGCGCACGGTGCGGGGCCCCGGCAGGTGTGCGGCCCGCTCGGCCCCCAGCCTGGCGCCCCCGGAGCGCGCGACGCTCTGCCATGGGGTCTGTGGTGCCAAGGCCTCGGGGGTGGGGGGGTGGCCTCCCGCGGAAGTCCTCGGCTCGGTTTGCAGGGCTCTGCCAGGCTGTGCCTGGGAAGGGGGAACCTCTGGGGTCGGGTGGTCCCGGGGTGAGGGCGGGCACCCCCGCTGTGGCCCCTTGGCTCAGCCTGGGGGGTCGGGGGCCAGTCGCAAAAGAGAAGCAGCCTGCGATTCGTCCCGAGAGGTGGGAGGTAGCCAGGTGACTCCAGGTGGAGGCATGCGGGGGGTGGGGGGCTTAGCACACCTGGGCTAGGTGCGCGCTCCGGGGCGGGGGTGAAGAGGGCTCCCGTGCCCTTGGACGGGCGTCTCCAGCTGTGAGGTTGTAGTGGAGCGGGGGCATCAGATGGGAGGCTGAGGTGTGACGGGTGATTCAGGACAAGGTCCCCACGCGAGAACTGCCCTCCGCCTGCCGTGGCTGCCTGCGCCCTCCCAGGAGGGGAGCAGGTCCTGAAAGGACAGCGACCTGGCCACGACGCGGGCCGCCTCCGAGAGCTCCCGGGGAGCCCGGGTTCTGGGTGCTCTGTGGGCTGCGGGGGCCGGGGGCAGCCAGGCCTCGGTGTGGGCAAAACCACACTTTCCTGGGGTGAAGTGGAGGAGGAGGGGGCGCCGATGCGGGGGAGGACGCTGTGTTGCGCGGTGTGGTGGACCTCGTTTGGCGCATGAATAAGGCAAGAGCGATTTGCATGCAGCAAAGCAGGTATCGAAGACTTACCAAGTGCCGTTTCCCCCGAGCTCCCGGCCTGACGATGTAAAGAGGCTTAAGGCTCCCCGGCCCTGGAGCCGCTCTCGGGGTTCTGCAGGGTCGGGGAGATGCCTTAGGGAGCCACGGGCGGTGCAGTCGAGCGTTAGCTGTGGACTGCGCTCGGCGGCCTTGTGCACGTAGCTGGGCTCTCCCACACTTCGAGGCCTTCCGGATTGCGCACCTGTGGATCCGGCCCGTCCAGGACAACACATTGCACCTGCTCGGAATGTGTGTAGACTCTCCCCGTGGTGTTCCGGGTGACCACGCATTATTCAGGCGGCGTCCACAGGGTACTGGCTATGGTAAGCAGTCCACACACAGGAGGATGTGTGTAGCGTCTTTACAGATTCTACGCATTTTACCGAAGGGACGTGAGGATGCGGATTTCGGTGTTCTTTGGTGGGGAGGTTCTCCTGGACCCATCACCAAGGATCCTGAGGGGACAGACCTTGAACCCGACGTGTTCACTGTGGTAGCCCCGCGGCCCTGCCTCGGCGCAGGAGGCTGGAGTGCTGTGCTGGGCCTCCCCGGCTGTGTGCAGTGCTGGGAATGAGGCCCTGCCGCCTCCTGTCTTGCTGAGAAGTACCCCTGAGTGATGGGCAGTGCTGCTGTCTGCAGCAGTACCTGCTAACCAGGCTCCCTCTCTTTACTCTTATCCTGGGCCATGAGTGCCCTACCTGGCGGCCAGAGCCATGTTTAAAAAAAAAAAAACAACTGTTGTGATTTCACTACCTTTTTTTTTTTAATTATTTATTTATTTGAAAGTCAGAGTTACACAGAGAGAGGAGAGACAGAGAGAGAGGTCTTCTGTCTGCTGGTTCACTCCCCAATTGGCCGCAGTGGCCCGACCTGCACCGACCCGAAGCCAGGAGCCAGGAGCTTCCTCCAGGTCTCCCATGTGGGTGCAGGGGCCCAAGGACTTGGGCCATCCTCCACTGCTCTTCCAGGCCATAGAGAGCTGGATCGGAGGTGGAGCAGCCGGGTCTCGTCCTGACACCTGTATGGGATGCTGGCACTCCAGGCCAGGGTGTTAACCCGCTGCGCCACAGCACCAGCCCCTGTCCATGAATCCTCTCGACAGGCAGGCCCCAGATCCCTCCTCTGTAAAATACAGATTATAACATACCTCAGAGCTCCCAGCAGAGTTGATGACACATATTAGGCTTTATTTAAAATGTTTTTAAAGACTTTTTATTTTTCTTTATTTGAAAGAGCTACAGAGAGAGGTAGAGAGAGAGAGAGAGAAATGTTGCATCTGCTGGTTCACTCCCCAAATGGCCACAATGGCTGGAGATGAGCCTATCTGAAGTCAGGAACCTGGAGCTTCTTCCAGATCTCCCACAGGGGTGCAGGGGCCTAACAACTTGGGCCATCTTCCACTGCTTTCCCAGGCCATAGCAGAGAGCTGGATTGGAAGTGGAGCAGCCTGGACTTGAACCAGCGGCCATATGAGATGTCGGCATTGCAGGTGGTGGCTTTACCTGCTATACCATAGTGCCAGCCCTGACATAGTAGGCTTTTATACAGTTCCGTGGAGCTAATGAGAGAGTAGAGTCCCAGAATTGCTGGGAGGATATAATGAAACAGTCCATAGAAGTTCTGGTAGGTACTTCAGTTCTGTAGTACCTGTGGGTCCATTTTCCACATGTAACATCTGTGCTCTGAATTGATCACGCATGCATCTCATTAGGTATATCTAACACAGACTGGGAAGGTCATCTCTACCTGTTTTTGTTTTTGTTTTTGTTTTTTAAATATTTATTTGAAAGGCAGAGTTACAGAGAGGCAGATGCAGAGAGAGAGAGAGAGAGGTCTTCCATCCACTGGTTCACTCCCCAAATGCCATCAATGACTGGAGCTGAGCCAATCCGAAGCCAGGAGCCAGGAGCTTCTTCCAGGTCTCCCGCACGGGTGCAGGGGCTTAAGGACTTGGGCCATCTTCCACTGCTTTCCCAGGCCATAGCAGAGAGCTGGATCGGAAGTGGAGCAGCTAGGCCTCAAACCGGCACCCACATGGGATGCCGGCATTGCAGGCCAGAGGCTTCACCTGGTACCCCACAGTGCCGGCCCCTCTACCTGGTTTTACCTGAGCGGGAGAGGTGAGGGGCTAGCATCCGGGGATGTTTGCATGTCAGCTTTTACTTACAGGTATTTCAAGACTTGCAGGAGAACGCATGTTTCTCAGAGCTATGTTCTGTTCGTTGCCCTACCAGTACGAAACCTGAACCGCAGACAGACCCTGCGGTCAGTCCTGAGTGGGTTAAAGAGAAGTAAGGAAGTTGAATTTTCTTGAGGACCGGATGGCCTGTATCTCTGACTTAGGAGAGAAGAGCTCGTCACACCTGATGTAGGACAAGGCGCCCCCTGCCTGTTTTGAGTGGGAGTTTGCGCTCTGATGGGAAGGGAGAGTGGAGAAGCGGTGTGCGAGGGGCCGGCGTTTGAAGCGAGGGAAGCCGTCGCGGGCTGCAGATCACGGGCTCCTGTTCTGCGGGAGGGCCCGGCGTGGCGTGGCTTGCCGTGCCGTGCCATGACCAACACTGTTCTTGCAGGGGAGCGGCTCCGGACCACGCCATGCTGAAGAATGTTCCGGAAAGGCAAAAAACGGCACAGCAGCAGCAGTTCCCAAAGCAGTGAGATCAGTACCAAGAGCAAGGTAGGGGCTGGGCTTTGGAGCACAGTCCCAAAGCAGAGGGAACTTGGTTTCTTCCAGAGGCTGCTATATAGGGCCGCTAACCTCAGCCTTCTGACCGGTTGTGCTGATTTCCGGGAGCCAGTCAGGACCCCCTCGGCTGCCTCCCAGCCTGGGGGTGGGTGACGTGGCCTGAGGTCTCGTCTGCTGGAGCAGAAACCAGGAGGGGGCGACTGCACGCCCGGTGCTGCAGAGCGGGGCGGGAACCCAGACTTCGTGTTGCTGGGAGGACCAGGACCACCTCACGGATGCCCTGAGATGCCACTTCCCTGGCCATGGGTGCTGGACGCACCTGCAGACCCAGTTGGGCCACCCAAGTGAGAGTGGGCAGAGGGGACCCAGTGGGAGGCGTTTAGCTTCAAGGTGCTGGGGAGCGCGTGGTTTCTTAGCCAAGTGGCGACTGTCGGCCAGGTGCCTCAGGAGGGCACGAGCCCTGGTTTTAAGACTCCGACTCCCTTTCTGCTCTCCCGCTCGGGTCGCTGGGACCTGCGTTGAGCTGTTGCTGGAACCCCCCACCCTGCCGCCCCCTGCAGGCCTAGGCGTTCACCAGCATCTGCATGCACAGGGCCCAAGTCCACTTGCTGAGAGAGGGAAGGCCTGGTGGTTTCTGCACTCACCTTTGATGCACTTAGTTCTAAGAAAAGCTGAGTCTACTGCTAAAGGCAGTTTTGAGTGGAGCTCTCACAGGAGGGGATTTCAGCACCGTGAGAGCGCAGTTCTGTAGAGCAGCCTGTACTGCACACAGTGTGACTCCTCGCGCTCTGTCTGACGGCTTTGTCGGCTTCTCATAGCCGCTCACGTGGGCGGGGCCTCCCAGGCTCTGCCTTGGCCGCTGTATTCCTGCGGCCGCCGAGCAACCCCCTCGTGACATCAGTAGCTGGAGCGGTCCCAGCCGCCCGGGTGAGCACTTAGGGGACCCGCATTTCCTAGACAGGCCTTGGGGCTGCGCCTCCGTTCATCAGGCCAAGGTTCCACTCCCCGCCTGGCTCTCTGCCCGCGGTTCGTTCTGGAGAAAGGCAGGTGTATATTTTCGCATTTGATAGAAACAGCATGTGGAAGTGGCGGCTCGGCTTGGACCGAGCACTTTGGCGCCACAGGTATGCAGCGTCGTGTTACTGTGGGACGAACGATTGGAACTGTGTGTCTTTCTGTTTGTTTGCTATAGACTTTGTCTTTGCTGCACCTCAGTAACTGATCGGATTGTGTATGTGTTGGCTCAGTGATAATAAATAAGTAATTTGGGTGTGTTTGGTAGAGAACGTTAGAAAAGGCAGGGTTTCTTACAATGTGAGGTTTCTAATTTGTCTCTTATCCCTCAGTCTGTGGATTCCAGCCTTGGGGGCCTTTCTCGGTCCAGCACTGTGGCCAGCCTCGACACAGACTCCACCAAGAGCTCGGGTACGTCGCAGCTGGGGTCATCTCTCTGTCTCGTGTTCAGCTGGTGTCGCCTGTAGCACACTAAGCTCTTCTGCGTTTGCCGTGTCTTCCGTTCCTCTGCCCCTTATGCCAAGTTTAGAAATGGACCAAGATCTGGGGGGATGCGGGTTGGGGTGTGGTGGGAAAGCCGGTGCCTTGGAGGTTGGCTCGGGCACACGTGGGTCCCAACGCCAGACCGTTTGAAAGCTTCACATGAAGACAGCGTAGAAGGTTCAGATGGCTTTTTAAGAAATGGGGGAGGGGTTGGGAGGGAGCAGGACAGACATCCTGGCGATGGAGGAGCCACCTATCCCCGGGTCCCCGGGTCCCCTGAGACGCGCTAGCTCCGGAGCACAGCTGATGGCTGCGTCTGGCAGAGACTGCACACACAGAAGGCGGCTTCGCCCACAGCCCCCAGTGAGTTAGTGGCCAGCTGGAAACACAGTGTTCATTTTCTTGTGCGCAGTCCTGCTTTTCCCTGCGGGAGCGCAGGCCAGGTGACCTGTAAGAGCACGTGCAGCGTGAAGTCCATCACTGCTTCCAGGTCCCTTTGAAACAGGGAAGACGTGCAGCTCCTCACACCCTAAAGTAACCGTGTGGATCTCCTGATGTGGCCGAGAGCACCGAGTGTGCAGCTCCCGGTTCCTCAGCCTGGCTCTGTCTGTCGCGTCACGACTTCCTGCGTGGCCTTGTTCCATCCCTCGTAAAAAGAAAGAAATCGCCTGGTCTTTCCGGGCTGACTGAGTAGCACAGGAAGAGCAGGCTTCCTGAGTCAGGAAGAAACCAAAAAGAATGAAATCATGAGGCTTATAAAGGCACTCAATCACTTTTCAATGTGTTCGTCTGTTTTTCCTTTTTGTTTTGAAACCAAGTTAATTCACATTGATGTATTCCGTTTTCGAGGCCTTTACCTGCACTTAGTATACCCTGAGGCACGAGGGATGAGGTTGGTGAAACTGCAAGTTCTTTCCTATCATATGAAACAAAATGGGCATCTTGCAAGTTGTAATTGAAAGCTATATTTTAATGACAATTTTTTTTTTTTTTTTTGGGAAGGGGCCAAGGGTACTCTGTAATGCAGAGATTTCTTCTGAAGTCTTGACAGTATCATGTTTCTTTCACCTTTAGGACAGAGCAACAGTAATCTAGACACCTGTGCAGAATTTCGAATCAAATATGTTGGTGCCATTGAAAAGCTGAAATTCTCTGAGGGGAAAAGCCTCGAGGGACCCCTAGACCTGATAAACTACATAGATGTTGCCCAGGTAAGAACAATTCAGTTTATGCCTCTGGTTCTGAGGTCCTAGAGAGGACACTCATGGCTGTGGGGACGATGCCTATGCCCCAGGCCCCGCATGGCCGTCTTCAGTGTCATGCTGGAGCCACCCATCACTGTCACCCATCCCGAGGGTGGTCTGGAGTCACTCGGGAACTCACACCGTTCCTTCCTTGCAACATGGCACTTTGACTTCTTTCCGAAAGGCAGACAGAGAGACAGAGCGTGCTTGTTCTTTCTCCAGATGCCCGTAACAACTGGGGCTGGGCCAGGCGGGAGGCCGGACTCAGTCCAGCTCTCGCCATGGGTAGCAGGCACCCAGCTGCCTCCCGGGAAGCTGGGGTCAAGTACCAAACCCAGGCGTTCTGATGCGGATGAAGACTTCTTGGCCACCAGGCCAACGCCCGCCCCCCTTCCTGCGTTTATGAGGCTGAGCCCCGATGGTGGTCACTGCTCCCGCTCACCCAGGTTCTCCTGTCCAAACAGGCGGAACCGCACCCGATCGCACCGAACTAGTTCCGTCTGCTAACACTCCGACTCACTGTGCTGTCGCCATAACCTATCTCTTAGCTTGCTCCCAAGGAGAATTGAGGCGAGATACAAAATAGTCAAAAATAGTCAGCCCTTGCATCCACAGGTTTGACCAACCCTGGGTTTGTGTTTGCACTGAACGTGCACTTTTTCCCTCACCACAACTACACAGTGTAGCACAACAGCTATTTACATGGGCTAGCACTGCGTTAGGTGACTTCACGTCCACGAGAGGGTGTGTCATTTCCATGCAATATTAAACCATTTTGTGCAAGGGACTGGCACAGCCCTGGGATTTGGTATCCAGGGATGTCCTGGAGCCAGAACATCTAGGTGAAAAAATGAAAAAGAAGTCACAATGAAAATGAAGGTAAGTCAGAGGTGTGAGGTTGGTAGCTAAGACTGTGTCCAGGGCGTACCCTTGCCTGCATGGGGAGGTGACCCCGGTGAATCGCTTCCAGGAGCCGCCAGCCACTCCCCTAGCCCTGCAGGCACCCAGACACGAAGGCGCAGGGCCAGAGCTCATTTACTGTTTCCGCAAGACTTCACTAATGCAGGGCCGGCCTGCCTGCCTGCCTTGCTAATTCACTCGAGAGAAGTATTGTCAGTCAGATCAGCCAGGTAATTCGCTAGGGAAAACCGGGCATTATCTGCTGTTTTGTTCCTGAATAGCTCAAATACTCCTGTTTCTGGGTTTGGTGCTGACGCCGACGAGGCCAGTGTAATATGTTTCTGGGTTTGGTGCTGACGCCGACGAGGCCAGTGTAATGTGTTTCTGGGTTTGGTGCTGACGCCGACGAGGCCAGTGTAATGTGTTTCATGTCATTCATTTGTGCTTTGAAGCAAGATGGAAAGCTGCCTTTTGTTCCCCTGGAGGAAGACTTCATTATGGGAGTTTCCAAGTACGGAATCAAAGTGTCAACGTCAGATCAGTATGTGAGTAACTGTATGGGGCACGATCTCTGGGGCAAGGTGTCTCGGGAACTGGGGAGTTCGCACTGTCAGCAGGGCGGCTGGTGTGCAGGGTTCCCAACAGCCAGCCTTAAATGTGACCGATTTCTTAGGGTGAACAAGGGCTTCACTTTCTGCCTCCCAGATGAGGGCAGCCCCTCCACAGATGGCTCCTAGCGCCCCGGCTTTCAGAGCACCCGTTAGCCTGGGATCTGGGCAGGGAGGCAGATGCCCCCGGGGTGACGGCACCTAAGCCCAGCTGTGGGCAGCCTCACGGCGCGCTCCCGCGGGGAGGCGGGGCGGCACGGCGGCACGGCCTCTGATCGCCGCGCGTTGCTGCAGGACGTCCTGCACAGGCACGCCCTGTACCTGATCATCCGCATGGTGTGCTACGACGACGGCCTGGGCGCCGGGAGGAGCCTGCTGGCCCTGAAGACCACGGATGCAAGCAACGAAGAGTTCAGCCTGTGGGTCTATCAGTGCAACAGCCTGGTGAGGCTTCCGTTAACACTGTCCGTTACGTGTCAATCCCGGCTCGGAGGCCCCAGTCCAGCCGCGCTGTGCACTTAGCGCAGCTGTGAATGATTTCGGTTGGGCCCAACACTGGCACCCACCTGTGCCTGGACCTGAGGCACCAGGGCAGACACAGCAGGTGGGGACCTGCGGGTGGCCGGGCTCCCTGTTCCGGACGGCATTCTCCCTGCCCGGGGGCCGTGCAGTTCCCGTGTGCTGATGGTCTTTGCTCTTCTCGGGGAGCAGAGAGGGCCCAGGTGCAAGCGACTCACAGGGTGGGACCCCCACGGGCACACAGGCTGCTGCGCTGGTTTGGGAGACGTGCAAGGGTCAGGTTAGTGTTTCGCCGGTCAGCTTAGGTTCAGGGTAAGACTGACGAACGCTGCTCTTACTGTCTCTCTCACGAACGCAGGAACAAGCACAAGCCATCTGCAAAGTTTTATCCACTGCTTTTGACTCTGTGCTCACATCCGAGAAACCTTGAATGCTACCGCAGTGGCAGTCGACTTCATCTGAAGGTCAAGCTGTTTCCTACAAGTGGTTTCCAGCCTGCAGTGCTGAGCCGTCGCGGACAGATGAAGGAGTCCTTGGTCCTGCATTTCCTGAAGAGTGCAATGTAGAATGCTGATCATTCCCTTTTGTATTAAAATGTCTTGTACCCGGCAGTGAGTCAACTCTCAGTGAAGCTGCCTTCCTCCTGGGATGAACAGGGAAGCGCGTGTGTGATTTCACAGCGGGTAGGCTAACACCCAGGTCACAGAAGCCTGCTCAGCGACTGCAGACACCGAGGGCCTGTGTGACGTGAGCGCTGCCCCGGAGCAGCCTCCGGGAGACGCAGGTCACCGTCCTGAACTCGGATCAGACAGGTGTGGACTGACGGCCCAGCCCACACTGATGTGGAACAGCACTGAGTTCAAGACAGTAAACCCCTAAAAGTGCGTTGCCAAGGTAACATGCCAGGAGCCCACAGCCTGTGTCAGGACCTGGGTTCAAGTCCCGCTCCTCCACTTCCCATTCCAGCTTCCTGCTAACGTGCACCCTGGGGTGCAGCCAGTGACGCTCAAGTACTTGGGTCCCTGCCACCGCCTGGGTTGAGTCCTGGCTCCTGGCTTTGGCCTGGCCCCGCCCTGGCTGGGAGCATTTAGGGAGTGAACCAGTAGAGGGGAGATCTCTGATTCTGTCTCTGCCTTTCAAATTAAAAAAAAAAAATTCACCTGAGAATTCAGAGAACCTTAAGAGATTACTGCTTGTGTTAACAGTGATCCATTTCAGGGCTCTCATGCCCAGCATGCTGTGTGCCTGTGTCATGGCGTAGGTGGTAAAGCCACTGCTTGCGACACCCGCATCCCATGTGGGTGCTGGTTCGAGCCCCGGCTGCTCCACTTCTGATCCCGCTCCCGGCTGGTATGTCTGGGAAAGCAGCAGAGGGTGGCTCTACCCACATGGGAGACCCAGCAGAAGCTCCTGGCTGGAGCAGATGGTAAATTTGCTTGCTCACTCTCTAACTATGCCTTTCAGATAAATAAAAATAAATCTAAAGACGGAAAGGACTGTCCATGTACACACTTGAGAAATGAAAACATTACAAATACGACAGTGTCCATTTAAAAGTATTTTTATTTTTTCCAGTCAAATGACTAGTTAACAAGAGTAAACTTATTAAACATGCTCTAATTATAAATCACTGCATTGAGGACAATGAAAATAAGAATTTAGGTTATACAATATATACAGTTGCGCTGCAACTAGACCAAAGTAATCAAGCGAATGGATTGAATATCATACATCTCAAAAGAGCGTTCGAAGCTGCGGTTCGCATCACCCACCCCTCGCCAGCTCACACCTGAGCGGTCGTCTGCACGCATTTCAAACGTTCTGAGTCAGCATCCCTAGAGGTCAGATCTGATGGAAAAGGGCACACGAGATGCCGGAGTCCTGCAGCTGAAGTTCATAAAACATAAACTTTAAATATAAATAGATATCTACAATGGTTTCCTTTCTCTGGCGCTTTTTTTTTTTTTTTTTTTTTGGTAATTTGCAAAGAGCAAATGACTAGGCAAGTGTGTTAGCAGGGAAGTTAGTATAGTTTCTCTCCTATCCATTACTGCACAATAGCACCACCAAACTGTAGACTGGAAAAATATTTCCTAGATGTTTATGTACCAGTGAACCTGACAGACTAGTGTGGGGACTGGAGTTAAAATGTTGACGTGAATCAACTTCACTCTTAGAGGTCTGGCACCAGCTAGCCCAAAGGCCAAGACACGGATGCGGGAGCTTTGCTGAGACAGACGGGAAGTGCACTGTGCAAAATACATGTTTACTCTCTTAAATCGAAGAAAATTAACCAAATGAAGGGTTCAAACAACAGAAATGAACAATTAGTGAAAATAGATGTAGTGCTTTAAAAAAAAGTTAATTACAGATCTAGCACATTTTTACCCAGAGCTTTGAAAGGAAAAAAAAAACAATTGCTATGCAACATCATAAAACATTCCAGTTTGTTGTCTTCCTTTATGATAGAAATGAAAAATTACAACGCTAAGAAACAAAACAAAAACTCTACACCTACAAGGGACTTGCATATTAGCTGCTTCAGGCCAACGTACCATCGTCACAGCACTGACAGCACGCCGCCTGGCTTTCAAGCCTGCGCTACGGTTTATTCCTTCTGTTAAAAACCCGACCGGGCATCAGATGGCTAGTCATTCTCAAACAGTGCCGACGTTTCTAATGTTCCTACTGTGAATCTTACGCTCACAACTGCAAAGAGGCATGACAGTTCATGAAACTAGTGAGTTCTGATTTCATCACATACGACCTAATCCCACCCCTCCCCAAGCAGTCACGTTTAAATGCTAGGATGGCTTTACATAGTAAAACGGGTGTCGGAGTATTTCGTCACCCACGACCTACAGATTTCTGATAAGCTCTCGGTCACAGACAAGTGGACAGGGTAGCTACCGTTCCTGTGGGCATGTTCTATAAACACACGACACTAAGCTGAGGAGGCATTCATGAGCTAGGAGACGGGAGGGCAGGGGGACACACAGGACACGGCACAGTGCGGCCACCCGGTGTTCTCCCCGTGCGCAGCTGCCTTCCCGGAGGTGAGGGGCTCCAGGAGGCAGGAAAGCACCCAAAGCTCACTCCTGCGATCCTTCATCCTTGGTTTTGAGTCAAATTCAGGAAATGCAGGTTTACCTCCTCTCCAGGGACGGGAGGAGCTGCGTCACCTAGGCTGTGCTGGAGCACCAGTGGTTCTGCTAGCTAGGCTTGGGCACGACAGGTCACACACATGCAGGACACAGTGGCAGCTCCAACCCCAGGCCGGGCTGGAGAGGACACGGCTCCTGTGCCAACTCTCAGGCCGCAGGAGGCAAACGCCGGGTGGGTGTCCAAGGAACAGGAGTGTGTAAAGGTGAACTGATGGCATCTACTGAGGAAGTCCAGAGCCGGGCTGGGACCCCGAGGCGGCAGTTATGGCTCCCCAAAATACTAATTGCACGAAAGGTCCCCGACTCTGTAACGGGGAAAAGGGAAGCAGGAAGAACTAAAATCCCAAACAGATTTTTTGGTTGAGCTAGTTCTATAGATGTAGAATCTAAATCTTGATTACATAGTTAAAATAACTCTTCAGTTCACCTTTTAGGAAATTCAGTTCTTCGTAGTAAAAGTATAGCAATGTTTCATGAACATCACAAATTATAAAAACCACTGATATATAAAAGAAGTTGCCGTCGCGTTTGTCAAACAGAACGGAGAAAATGGGCCACCATAGGATTCACGAAGCCGGCACCTGGCGAGGGTGTTGGTGCTGACGACGGACTAGGAACACAACCGTTGAAAGGACCGCTCTCGCCGGCGGCAGTTCAGTCGGCGATGAAGTGCACGAATGACACGGGGAACGCTCCCTTGCGACTGGGGTCTCCGTCGATGTGGCCGATCTGGAATGGATCAGAGTTGGGGCGGTCATGGGGCTCCTCAAGACGGGAGGTCTGTTAGAAGGCTCCCTCCAGCCAACAGGTGAAACATCTACACTGCTCCTGTTTGCTCTCAACCACGCAGTCATGCACACCTCCCACGCACCCCACACGTGTGGACCCCAGGGTGGACGTGCAGGCCTGGCCCCGAACCCTACCCCGGGGAGCTCCCTCACCGTGTGCCTTGTCTTCCAGGGAATGAAGACAGAGGATCAGAAGGCTGTGGCTGCAAAGCCATCAAGTGCAGAGGGTCTGACTTGGCTCCATTTAAACTTTGCCAAGCATTTGTGGAAAGTTCGAGAAATCCACTTAATTTTGCTGTGGGTTAACGTGTGTAAATGACACCCAAGTGTGATCTCAACAACATGAATTATGTGGGCATGTAAAGGTCTACAGGAAATGGCCAGAACACAGATGGTGGGGATTTTGTGAGGCAGGAGCGGGCCGTGGTTCTGGGCAGTACCCACGTTCCTCTCTCCAGCTCTGGAGTCTGCACAGCTGGGGGAATGAACAGGTGTTCTCCATCGGGCTCGGCCTGTCGTGTGTGGGCATGGGGCCCTCAGCCCTGCGCAGCCGACGCACGGTCAGCAGAGGCCGCAGGGGCTCCCTGCAGGGAGCAGGGAACCAGGAGAGCGCCTGTCACGGCCCAGCCAGGGCGGGGACCCAGGACAGCGCCTGTCACGGCCCAGCCAGGGCGGGGAGCCAGGACAGCGCCTGTCACGGCCCAGCCAGGGCGGGGACCCAGGACAGCGCCTGTCACGGCCCAGCCAGGGCGGGGACCCAGGTCAGCGCCTGTCACGGCCCAGCCAGGGCGGGGACCCAGGACAGCGCCTGTCACGGCCCAGCCAGGGCGGGGACCCAGGACAGCGCCTGTCACGGCCCAGCCAGGGCAGGGACCCAGCACAGTGCTTGTCACGGCCCAGGCTTCCCTGAGCCCCACCCAAGTGGCGAGTTGAACCGCTGGGTATCTGAGTCCCAGGACAGGGCCGGGCTGCGGCTGTGGCCACACGGCCGACTCTGCCAGGTGCTTTCTGCACATCACTCCTGCGGTCACCCCCGCCTCCCTCGGAGGGTGCTCACCACAGGCTGCCGCGACTCCCTGCCAGGCGCTGGCGCCAAAGTGAGACGACCCCGGTGCCCTGGCCGAGGTCAGCAGCCTGTTAAGTGGCTGCATCTGAACTCCGGGGTCGCCCAGGGCAGGCCCGAGCTCACCCTGAACCCGGGAGGACGCCTGAGCAGCCCACGCTCGCCTTGGAGCCAGGTGTCACCCGAGGCTCTGGCCTCTCGGGCAGCAGTGGGCAGCCAGGACCTGGAGACTGGGGGCCCTGGCCTGCGCTCTGGAGACTGGGGGCCCTGGCCTGCGCTCTGGAGACTGGGGGCCCTGGCCTGCGCTCTGGAGACTGGGGGCCCTGGCCTGTGCTCTGGAGACTGCAGCCCGAGCGGCTGGAGGGAGGAGCCCCCCCCGGGGGGGGGGTCATCAGGTCCACTGGGAAGCCGACGTGCAGGAGCAGCCCCCCGAGAGAAGGCCAGGGGCAGAGCGCACGCTCAGGCTGAGAACCTCACTGTGAGCAGGCGTCCCTGGCCAGGCAGGCAGGCCACGGCCCAGCCCCGACTCACCCACCACTCCTGGTCCTCCTCGCCGTCCACGACGATCACGTCGCCCTCGGAGAAGGTCAGCTCGT